AGAAAATGCAACTTAAGTGACATATTGCATCCCATTTTATAGTAGTAGTCCAATAAAACTTTTATTTTTTCGCGAAAATCTTCAGATTTCTTGTTACCAAGGAAATTGTTAGTGACATCGACAAAAGCCTTCCATGTTTGTTTTTCAATATTATTGAGAGCAGATATAAAAGATGGATCTTGAATCAGCTTTTTTATGTCTGGACCTACGAAAACACCCTCTTTAATTTTCGCGTCACTAAGCTTAGGAAACTTACGATTTCGGCGTAAACTCGCCACAAATATAGCAAAATAAATCAGGACTGTTAACACACACTCGCTGCATTTTAGAAGTCAGTTAATATACTAACAATTGCACTATGTTCCATTTGCAAAAGTAATAAGTTTCCGGACTACCCGCATTTTAACTTTTGTAGGTAGGTAAAAAAATAAAAAAATATTTATCCCTATAACCAGATGTGATATCAAAAAAAAATGCATACAATATTTTTATATTGGTCAAGCTTATTATGAAATAATATGAATTGGGTCAGATATTTTTTAAGTGTTGAGTAGTGTAATCTTAGTCTATAGTCTACTTTGCATTGCGTACGTTGATAAGTTTCGAACCCGCGCCCTCAAGCATGAGAACCAGGCGTCTTAAACCTCCGAGCCACCGCGACATGTCCTTACCTCTTTACGAAATAAATTGGGTGACTGTATACATCCGTATGACAACAGATTAATTAATAAGAAATAGTGAGCTCACAGTATATTGACTTAAGTACGATTGAAGCAAGTTTTTCGAGCAGTAATGATAATCATGATAATTTTATTTGAACAGTCTTACTGAGGAAATACCCGCGTTCAAGTTTTTATACAATATTTAATTTTTATGTACGTTTTCTATTATACATTGTTTGATTTGAATCATGTATTTTTCGACTGCTTCATTGGCCAAGTGGTCGCAAGTGCGACTGCCGAGCAAGGGGTCTCGGGTTCGATTCCCGGGTCGAGCAAAGTATTACTAGATTTAAAAAAAAATCTCAGTAGTAACACGGAGACTTAAATTGTGGCCGGTATTTGGCAATGGGCTCATCCCCTATTACATGGGACTCATAACATAAACAGTGAAAAGTGGGTGTAACATTGTACAGTGGCATTAAATGCCGTAGATAATGTGCACCTCTGCCTACCCCTTCAGGTATAAAAGGCGTGATATTAAATGTGGTTTTTTCATCCAAGCATTAGTCAAATGTCCATTACTTTTCAATTTAATAAATTTCAAGATTTTATTTATAAACCTAAACTTTTTCTCTGTATGGATTATGTATGGAGAGCTGCACAATTTTTATTTCACTTTATAAAAATAAGTATTATAATAATATAATTTATGTTCTACAATTAACCTCGCATCGCAGCCATCTACCTGGCGGATTTACGTTCCACTTTTAACATCGCGTCGCAGCCATCTACCTGGCGGCGAGTGGAAGACCAGACCTCCTTCTACCTGGGAACTACCTAGGCCCTGCTGAAGACCTGGAAGTGCATTTGGAACGAGACCGGACCGCCTGCAGAGCTACTCCACGGTTCAGGCCAGTGTTCTCAGCGTACCTATTACCCCGAACCTGGACGTGATTGGGGCAACAGATAATTGGCATTAATAGAGTGAACTACTTCTAAAAAAAAGTGTACTTTATTTGGACCCCTACCTACCTACCTGCCGGCCACCTGACTCCTACAGGAGGCAAGTTGCTGCAGTGGCTGACAGAAGCTGACATTTGTAAATGTAATAACAAAAAACAAACTTTATCATTCACGTAGCTGTGTATGTATCTCATAGATAGTATTAGAAATAAGATATAGATTGGAAATACTAAGATCTAACAACCTGCCGCATATTTTTTGTATAAACTATGGTACAAGGTCAAATATTTATAGTACCTAAGTGTAATTTTCATGATCATCGGATCTGTATCACTAGCAATATTCAAAGATAGATAGATATGAAACAATAAAAATGTTTATTGTGGCAATGTAGTACACACATAACATCACGCCTATTATCCACCAAGGGGTAGGCAGAGGTGTAAATTATGCCACTGTACAATGTAACACCCACTTTTCATTATTTATGTTATGAGTCCCATGTAATAGGGGGTGAGCCTATTGCCATATACCGAAATTCCAGACCCCGTGTTACTACTGATTTAAAAAAAAACCAAGTAATACTTTACCCGACACGAAAATCTAACCCGAGACCCCTTGCCCGGCAGTCGCACTTTCGACCACTCGGCCAACGTAATAAAAACCAAACCAAAAACAGACTTTCGTAATAAAAAAACTATTTTATTAAAACTATTTTTAATATGCGCACTTCATTCTACAAGTCATGTTATATCGATATTTCTAAACTGTGAGTTATTAAAATTCTTAAATCTGTTACATGGAAAAAAATCTTAAGAGCATTAACTGAGCTCACAATGCAAAACAAATACAATGATGCTTACATACATTGATAATACAATGAAAATAAAATGATAATGGCAGAAGTGTCTATTATCCGTGGGGTCGATATTAGATATGATATGCTTGATATCTATATGTATCGCCATCTTTTTAATAGATAGCGTAGACTAGAACTGTAGCTAATAGACACAGTCACAGAGTAACAGAAAAGTTAATAACTAAATCACAAACTGTCATATACTTATGTGTTTAGAATCTAAATTTTAGATCACCCGAGTTACTAAGCTTTCAACCCGCGTGCTTAATTAAACGAAAAATATATGGAATTATATCACTTCCCACCCTCCTAATAATAGCTCGCCGCCCGACCAGACCCCAGACCCGAGCGAACGGCGCGCCACGTTTTACGCGCGCCTCTAAGAGCCATTAGACCACCAACCACGGATGGGGCGCAATAGGGCTGATGCCGATACGAAGCCGCGGAAGACTTAACGGGTTGCCGGGGCTTGGGGTCGAAGTGCAGGAGAAGGAACGGGGTGGTTTTTAGTCAGTAAGAGTGACACTCCCTCCCGCCTCACCCAGGCGAGAGCAGTCATTCGATGATCCCCCCCCCCCCTTAAAAAACCCCCTGTTCCAAATTTAATCCCGATCCCTTCAACCGTTTTTACGTGATTGAATAACGAACATATACGTAAACACAAACTTTCACATTTGTAATGTTACTAGCTACTGTCACCAGCTTCGCCCGCGTTCTCGTGGGATTAAAAGTACCCTATGTTATTCCAGACCATTACTTACCGCTGTTTCAAATTTCATATCGATCCCTTTAGCCGTTAAACTTTGGCATTTATAATATTAGCTACCGGTGACCGCTCTCCACTAACTACATTATAGACCTTATTTCCGATGTTTAGAGACTACTTTTGTATGAACTAATTTAGGGGATGATATTTCAACAGGTTAGTAGGAAGTAGGATATAGTTTTTTTTTTAAGTGAGGTAATTGAATTACTTCTCCCATCTAGGTGAGACGGGAGGGAGTGCCAGACTCTTACTGACTAAAAACCACCCCGTTCCTTGTACTTCGAGCCGGAGCCCCGGTAAACCGTTAGGTTCTCCGCGGCAAGTAGGATATAGTACAAGATTATTATTAAAGACGCGAAGAGAATTTGTAAATGTGTATAAGAAACTCTTTCACGCAAAGACTTCTTAATGAAACTGAAGATTTATTGTGGTATAGATTAATATTCTGGAATGACACATGGACTACAGTTTGTCCTGGCAGTGCGGGCGGAGTCACTAGCGAAAGATAGTAATCATACAAAGGAAGGATTCTCACTAATATTTTCCTTGCAACTCATACAAAATTCTTCATTACAATTTCAACTTAATCATTTTGATACTAAGTCCAAAACCCAATAAAAAACATTGGCGTGGATGGACTGGAGTTGACCACTTTACAATTAAGAATAAATGAATAAACTTACCCCAAATGGATTGCTTTCATCTACCAGGGCGTAAGGTACTCCCAAAAACATAAAGTAGCCATCTTTCGCCTGTAACCCTTTAATCGTTCCCTTTTTCGTGATCACAGTAGGATCCGATCCTTCACTATATAAACACTTTATTAACACCAGAAGTAATATTACTTTGTACATTTTGTTGAGTTGTTTATTTTAGTATTAAACGTGCTTCCTCGCAAACACTTTGGGAATGACTGATTCAATGTCGTTAAGTATTGAAAAATATTTGTGTTAAATATAGCGTAAAAAATATAGCGTCATAAAAACGTCTACAAAAAGTATTACTTAGAGTTAAGAACGTGTACGTGGCGCGGGTTTTCATACAAACTTGCAAGTCTCTATGGGAACTACTAAACTGATTGTAATGGAATTAGTTATCTATCATACGCAAAAGGTCTGAAAATATAGTTTAAACTATTTTAAAAATATTGTTATTCTAAGTTTATATGAAGACTTAAAATTGTCTATTTAAAATGGTTATTTTTATACGTATGTTGACCAACTTTTTTGACCTTAATATACTAGCATATTCTATATACTAGTATATTCTATATAAAAATATGTATTGCGTATAACAAAGTTTCACTAAAATCCGTCAAATAGCTTCCATAAAAAAAAAACAGTCGAATTGAGAACCTGCTTTTTTTTGAAGTCGGTTGAAAAGGTACTCGAAATTTTGTATGAAAGAAACACTCTTTTAACATGATCTTAAGTCTTAAAATCTGACTGTAGTAGGGCGCGACCTTAGATACTTAACAAAATAAACGTGTTATCTTTTTCTTTTTTTCTTTTCTTTTAAAAAAAAACGTTGCCCCACTTTAGGATTTTCTCCTGTGTCGTGGGTGCGTTTACAAACATACAAGTTCACAGACACATGACACCCAGACCCGAAACAACAATTTGTGGATCGCACAAAGTGTTGTTCCGTGCGGGAATCGAACCCGCGACACGTTGCACGGCAGCCGGTTGCCCAGCCACCGCACCAACCGTGCAGTCGTATCTTAAACGATATAACAACTAAATATTTGTTTATTATTTGATAATAACAAAATTGTACGTAACATGAGATGTAACACTGTTTTCGCTATTTAATATGGGGTGTCAAAAACCGGCCACGAGCCTAGACCTTTTTTTTATAGCATACTAGCGACCCGCCCCGGCTTCGCACGGGTTTTTTTTGTATATACATACAAACCTTCCTTAAGAATCACTCTATCTATTAAAAAAAACCGCATCAAAATCCGTTGCGTAGTTTTAAAGATCTAAGCATACATACGGACATACAGCGAAAGCGACTTTGTTTTATACTATGTATTGAAGCCGGTAAACGAGCAGACGGATCACCTGATGGTAAGCAATCGGCGCCGCCCGAAATACCAAGGCGTTACAAGTGCGTTACCGGCCTTTTGAGAATTGGGAATCTGAGGATTGTGGAGGATTCGGGGATTCGGGAGACTAGGGAAAGGGGTAATTGGGCCTCCGGTAACCTCACTCACACGACGCTTCCATTTTAAGACAGGAGATAACTGCTTAATATTCGAGTAAAATGCTAGCATATCGAGGAAGGAGTCTCACGGTTTCAGTTCCAGAGCCAACATTTTACTAGAATAAAAGCTGGACGTAGTTATGCAGAAACGTTCTAACCTACAAGTCACCCGAAATCGGGATAATTATGATCTTACTAAATTGTATAACAGCTAGCGTCAGATTAGCAAAAAGGTTCCAAGATTTAACTTAAATTGTATTATAATAACTTAAATTTAATTTTACTCTTTTATAACTTTGCCTGCCTCGTTGGCAGAGTGGTCGATTCCCGGGTCGGGCAAAGTATTACTGGGTTTTTTTTAATTCTCAGTAGTAGCACGGAGTCCGGAATTGTGTCTTTTTTTTGGCAATAGGCTCACCCCCTATTACATGGGACTCATAACATAAATAGTGAAAAAGTGGGTGTATAGTGGCATAATGTGCACCTCTGCCACCCCTTCGGGAATAAAAGGCGTGATGTTATGTTATGTTCTTTTATAACTATATTTATTATATGTATAGATACTACCTTTTATAAGGTAGTAAGATCATATTATCTCGATTTGGGTGACTTGTGGGTTGGAACGTTTCTGCACAGCTTAGAGTCTGAAGTCATGTCCATGTTTATTACATATGGACGTTTTCTTTGTTCAAAGTGAAGTCATAGCAAATAAAAAAAACCATTCAATATTTCCTTTGGCTTTATTTCTATACTTGGAAATCAGTTTGATGATCACCGACCACATTCAGCATACATACACAAATCAAGTTCACTTCGCGACCGACCGTTTAAACATACAAATATATCACAAGTAAATAAAGCGTTACATAATAGTCATCAGATACAAATACACAAGCTGAACATAGAACGAACTAACAAGAAAATATTTATTAAGGCGCGTCCACATCTGGTGAATGAGCCGCCCGCGAGATGCGCGCGTGCCATCACAGCAATGGTTTGGTACTCAACTCATACAAATGATAATTTTAAATTCTTCTCGCGGGCGGCTTGCGAGCAGTGTATTCGCAGAGCATTCGTCAGATGTGGACGAACTCTTAGAATTTAGGCAAGACAAATAAAAAATATAATTTAAACTTATTTAATATGTACAGGCAATGGTCAAAAAGTCCACTGCCACCGTGAGTGATGTTCACAACGCAATGCGTTAGTAATTTCATATTAATTTACATAACAGCACGTGCGTACGCATAAACACACGCACGCGTACGCACACTGATACAAATATGCGTGTGCATGAGGGTATAAACGCTGCAGCGCAACCGATAGTTGTCTTACGGTGGCAGTGGACTTTTGACCTTAGACCGTACTAATAATCGAATATACTAAACACATTTCCTAGAAAATGAATATAAAATTTTGGACTAACTTCTAAAATCAACGAACTACGCTCTATGTCCAAAAAGTGTTTGAAAAAATTCTAGATTGTTCCTCGTTCGTTCTACGGATAGCTTGTATGTGACTTAAAATTTAACAACACTACATTGACGTAACAGTTCCATGTTTAAATATTATTTATACTCGTGTTTTGTTTCACACGTGTACAAATATTATAACTTGAGGAACAATTGATTCATTTTTAAAGGTTTTTATAACACTCCGCCGCTTAAAAACCACGCATAGAGAAAGAGAAGAATTATAATATTAGAGGTAATATTGTAGGTTTAGTTTATGTATCTAAATCGATGCATTTTTGATAATTGATTACATATTATACGATAATTAATTATAGAATATAATACATAAATTAAGTAAAATTATACACAAAGAGACCAATATAAAATCGAGCTAAGAAAAATTAAATGTTTACAATATTCTTTTAAAATATAATATACGAGAATAATGCTGTTAAGAACCAAACACCAATTAGGTTTGTCATTAGCTATTAAAAAGGAATGAGGTTAATCATTAACTATTACAAATCTCATTGGATTTTGGTTCTATGGTATAGATATTAAAGTCTGGAATTCCCTTTCTAAAATAGCATAGATGAAACTGTAATTAATTTTGTCGTACGTAATGAAACTTGACGGAGATTCCACAGATTGTTCTGAACATTGGTGCTAATGTCAAATTTAAAGCTGAGGGCCAGTGTATTATGCGCACGGTATGACGTTCGACGCTCTGATTGGCTGCTTCAAAGAACCAACTAATCAGAGAGCTGAACCCGGTAACGTTAATAAACTCACACTAGGCCCTCTGTTCATTAGCTATACACTTAAGAGTCGTGTTGGCGCCAATGTTTGACCCAACATATCGTGTGGAGTCGCAACACGCAACATTTTTCACCTCGGAGTAGAAATGTCAGCTTATAAGTACTAAAATAACATGCATTTTGTCTTGTTTACGTCAATATAGGTTTAAAATGATCACATAATATAAAGTAAATAAGTATTAGCAGATGTTTAGTCACAATATTATGGCGTTAGCGAAGTCGCCGCTACCTACTCCAACTGATCCTATATACAGGGTGATGCATTATCATTTACACAGTTTAATGCCCCTTTGTGTCGAATTAAAGTTTTTTTTTTTTCAATAAATGTTACTATTGTGTATTTTTTATTTTTTTTTTTTTTTTTTCCTTCTCAAGTTTGATATCATTTATTTTTTATGTTGCAGGTTGCTGAGACAAACGAGTGAAGATGCAATAATCGATCTTACTGCAAATGTATTAGAAAACAAAGTTAATTGACAAAACTTACTACAAGAAATGAATAAAGCGTCATTTTAATTCGACATAAAAGGTATCAGATTTAATAAAACTAAAGAGTAAATAAAATTCTACTAAATATATTCCGTAATCACTTAAAGATTTAACATTAACTTACTATTAAACATTTCTACATTAATTAATTTATATTTATTTATTTATTTATAATACAGGATAATTTGATAATATTGTATTGTGAGACTTGACTTGCAAGCGGCTCGACTCACAACCCACCATTAAACTTTAGTAAAAAAAAAATATTATTGAATTATCATTGAAAAATGCTACTGGACAATGTATTATTTTAATTTCTCAATGTTCATTACTTCATTGAGCAAATTCAACCTTCTACTGTTTATGATAAGATTGCATTTCGATTGTCCGTAACATTTCAAAAAAAAAAACTACTAAATATGAACTGAATTCAAAACAATAATAAAAAAAAAAATTTTGAAATTAAGATTGTTAAAAACTGATTTGAAAACTATCTACAATGATTATTATTATTAATAGATAAATAATAGTTAACATAATTGAGGTTTTAGTCCATATTAACAAGTCATCAATTCATTTAAAAAGGTACAATATCACTTTCCGTGCTACTGGATATAAGGCTTAATTTCCTTGTGATAAGGTGTAAAGTTGTGTAGCAGATAAATACACCATATGACTTGAGCTTGAAATTCAATTTTTAGTAAAAAATAATTGTTTAATAATATGGACTGTTAAAGAAATACTCCCCATTATAATTGCACCTTCTTATTTTCCGCGCACTTGCCAAGTATTCTAATAAAGTTTTGCTCGACTTTTGTATGCAACAGCCACTTCAAACAAATCCAAATATCAGAACATCCTGTTACAACTTTTATTTTCAGCCAATTTAAGATTCACTTTTGCATGAACACATAAATCGCGATATGTCTCACTTTGGCCAAATTATAGTAAGCACACATACACAAACATCTTTAACAGCTACGCCGATCAATTTTGAATTCTATTGCTGTCACAATAAGGCAAATGGTAGCCACAGGAAAAATTTGGTATTTTACAACAAATATATCTTGATGGCAATTTCATTGTTGTGCCTAGGTCATAC